CAAAATTTATTTTTTTCTGAATTTTTCTTTTCATTCGAAATTAATTTTTTTCAGATTTTTCTTTCTTTGTATTCAAAATTTGTTTCTTTCGATACATTTTTTTAAAATTTTTCTCTGTATTGAATATTATTTTTTGCGATATTTTTTTCTAAATTTTTTTTTGTATTCTTTCCACATTTGAGATTTTTTTCTAAATTTTTCGCTTTGTATTTTGAAATTACATAATTTCTTTTCAGATTTTTTCTAAATTTTTCTTTGTATTTGAAATTAATTTCTATTTAGATTTTTTCTAAATTCGTATGTATTCGGAATTAATTTGTTTGAGATTTTTTCCTAAATTTTTCTTTCTATTCGAAATTAATTTGTTTCGAGATTTTTTTCTAAATTCCTCTCTGTATTCGAAATTAATTTTTTCGATATTTTTCTTTGTCTTAGAAATTAATTTTTTTTCGATATTTTTTTCTAAATTCTTATTTTTATTCGAATCAATTTTTTTTTCAAGTTTTTCTTCAATATTCTTAATTGTACTCGAAATTAATTTTTCTCGAGATCTAAATCTTGTGAAATTTCTTTTTTTAAGGGTAAATCTAAAATGAGAGAAAAGAGAGGAAAAAAGAGAGAGTGTGGTGAATTTCTCGCTTTTACTTCTTCTTTTTTTAATTACATTCTTTAAGGAATAACTGTGAAAATAATAATTTGTCGGCGCAAGTTCAGTGCTTTGCTAATGACAGTAATGAACAAGTTAAAGCAAAGTGTAGTGTGTGTAGGGCGCCCCGACGTCGGTACTGAGACGCAGCATCACAAAGGTTAGGGGAAAATTCAGCCAGGGAGCAAACTCAGCTATAGGCTTGTGTGCGAGGAAATGGGAATTTACCGAAATCCCATTGTTCGTTGCTTACTAGACAGATTTACGAGCTTCGCGAATTCTCTCTTTTTTTTCTTCTCTTTTCTCCATTTTTTTTCCTCTCTTTTATTTTTCTTCTTACTTCGATCCCATAAAATTTAGAGCACTCTCACTTTTCCCTTATTCTCATGCTTTGCCTATAGACCGCAAGAAAAAAAACTGTGGTTTGTAATTTTTCATTCAAATATGAAAAATTAGACTTACTTTTTTCAAAAAGTATTTTCAATTATTTATTACTTCAATTTTTGGAATTATTTATTTTTTATTTAACTTAATTTTTTATTATATTTTTTTTTTGATTATATATTATAGAATGCCTACTTATGAATTTACTTTTTGAAATGTATAATAATTTACTACAAAAATATTAATTTAATTCCAATTTTAATTAATTGTTTAATTTAAATTGTTTGAAATATTTACTAATTTGCCTTTTTGAAATATTTCTACATTTAATTTCGATTCTATTTGACTAGTTAATTTAAATTATTCGAAATATTAACCCTCTTGAACTATTTCCAAATTTAATTTCGATTTTAATTAACTCAATTTAGATTGTTCGAAATATTTATTAATTTACTTTTTTGAAATATTTGTCAATTTAATGGTAATTTTAAATAATTGTTTAATTCTCTAATTTTTTTATTTTGAAGTAAATATTAATTTAGTTTTACTAAAAAATTGTATTTTATAAACATTTATAAAACAATAATGTTTTATAAACATTTGCGGTAAAATTCTCTATATATTTGAATTTGAAAATTTTTTAAATTTCGGTTTTCATATGCGCGGTTAATAAAAAATAAATTTTAGGCAAAATGTACTCTGTATTTTTATACATTTCTAGGTTGCGTATGAATGAAGGGGAAAAAATTACATTTTCAAGGAATATGATTGAATTTATAAAAAGATGCGTTTATTCGTGACTTTCATAGTGTACTTGTTGCTGAAAGCTCTTGGGCGCTGAAATATATTCATATTCTTGCGAATATATATTCTTAATACCGCATGCCAAGGTGCTTCTCATTTCATCCTCTCTCTCTCTCTTTATATATACATGTATGTATTATTATCAAAAAACTTTTATATCCATTTTCTCGACAAAGGATCTTTTTTATCACTTTTTTAAAATTTTAATTAGGAGACGTATTTTATGAAAATAATTTATAGGGTAACTGTACCAATTGTCGAGGGTTTTAGGCAACATGTGACTTTAACATTTTTTTTCTCGGAAGTAAATGCACTTTAAAATTTGATTTTTGTATATTTGGACGAAGGATCTAATAATGTTTAATATTCATATTTATTTTTTTAATATAAACTAAATTGTTAAGCAAAAAATATATTTAAAAGTCAATCGAGCAAAAGCACCATTTGTCGATGGTCTTGTGCTAATTTCTCGAGGGTCTGTTCCAATTGTCGAGGGTATGACATATTTAAACATATAACCCAATATAACCTAACAATTAACCTGTACAGATATTAGAAAATCGAGTAGATATTTATTTTTTCGATAAAAATATTATAGAACATTACCAGAAAACAAATATATTTATTTAACTATAATTGAATAATTTATAATATCGATATAAAACATTTTTATAGTAGATGATACAGGACAGAAAATTATTTAACTGTTTTTTAAACTTTTATAAATAAGTTAATTAAATTTAATCAATTTTGTTAATCAGACATTAATTGAAAAAATAAATTAATTTAAGTCACATTAAATTTGTAAACGAATAAAATAAACTTTTATTACGAACTGTAAATATAATGGTTAATTATAATTAAACTATAGTAGGTACAAAATTTTTTAGTTTTAAATTATGCATTTTTTTTATTAATTTTTTTTCCGTCTTCCTCGTTTTTTTGGTTGATTATTTTCTGTTGGTTGTAAATTTTTGGAGGATTTTTTTTTCTTTTTCTGTGTACCTATAAATGTTTGGCATTTATGTTTGACGTTTAGTAAATAAACACTTAACCATCGATAAATGGTGCATCAGCGAAAAAAGTGACTACACCAATTTTCGAGTCATTACCTCGAAAAATGGAACTGTCAAAAAAAAGGAACCAAATACCGATGATTTGCTTTTAAAAAATATTAAATATTTTTTTTTAACAAAAAAACATGCATACAAAATCAATTTAGTTCGTGTACAAAATTATAATAATAATTTTGTACACAAAAAGTCATTATAAATACGTTTAATTTGCATTTCTAAAAATCTCTTTTAATCAACCTGAAGTATTAAGAAAACGGAGATTCGTGTAAATTTCACAGCAGTGAATTATAATATTAATTAAATAATTATTTTAGCAGAATCGCTACGAAATTTGTATATATAAATATACAGTTGAAAATACAAAGATTATTTAGAAATTTTTTTTGTTCTTAAATATTATATATTATACTATTTATCTAAAAAAGAAAATTATTATCCTCGACAATTGGAGCACCCTCGGCAATTGGTGCAGTTACCCTAATAATATTTTCTTTCAATGTAATAATTTATTATAAATTTTTCCTTGGAAATACCTAATACATAATTTTGTCTTCGATGCAATAGTACGTTATAGGTTTTTTTTTTAATTTTTTCTTTTTATTAGAGTATAATTTTTGTACTGATTAAATGTGTCCTTTTATTTGTAAAATGTGCTAAATATATTAATGTTTGACAATTTATTTTGTAAATAGAGTGATTTTTACAGGAAATTATGCAAAATTTTGTCTTCTTTTCCAAAAATAAATCTTCATAATTTCAATTTGTTAGAAAGAAAGTTTTTTATAAAAAATTTAATTTGATTTAATTTAACTTTTTTAAATCAATTCTTAATTTTAATTTTTATAAAAATAAATGCAGAATTATCATGAATTATTATTTATTTATTTTCTATTTATTTAATTCATTTATTTATTTGTTTTTTTAGAATTTGATAAATATACGGGTCAAAGGAATAAAATATTCAAAAATATTTACTATAAATTTTCCCTATTAGAATAATAAATAATTTTCTTTCTTTGATCTGTACAATACAGCAAAATTCATATACACCTTTCTCTCTCTGTTTTCTTTTTGCACTTTTTTTTTATTATTACAGTTAATTGTTACTGCCTAAATTTGGCCGTTTATTGCAAAATGTGCGAAACTTATTAACGTGCCAGCTGTTAATAATTAAATGAAAGCAATTTGAATGTGAAATTTCGCTTTAGTAAATTGCACAATTTTTCTCATAAAGAGAAAAAAAATATGGAAAATGTTTTTTACTTCTGTTTTTTATTTTTTATTTCCAAAACAAATATAATAATCATATTAGGTATTTATGTCTTTTATAAAATATTTTTTAATAATATTTTTAAAGACGTATGAATACAGAAAAAAATATTTACTACATTCAAAAATAGAACGAATGTTCTAATAAAAATTATTATAAAAATTATTAAAATTACTAAAAAATAACTATAAAATTACTTTTAAATTATGATCCTTAAATTTTGAACGTTCAAATGAACGAAATTTATTTATTTCCTCTTCAAATTAAATTTTTATTTTAATAATTTTGCGTCCCTGTAAAAAATTATTAATTATAAAGTTTCTAAATATAAATAAAGTTTTTTTAAAAAATTTTTGCAATCAGTAATTTATGGGGATATTTTTAATAAAATATATTTCGTTCATTTGTACGTTCAAAACTTGTGGCTCATAAGAAATTATTAGAAAATTAATATAAATTTATTAGAAAATTTTTATTTATTTATTTATTTACGAAAATAAACGGGAAAATAAAAAAAATGTTATTAAATCTTATAAAATGAATAATATTGAAAATTTTCCCTTTATACACAAAATCAAATATTTACCATTTTCGTTTATTTTTAATATATGTTCTTTATATTTGGAAAAAATATTGTCGAAATAATGTATAGTTTTTTTTTTGTGTGATATGTTTAAATATATATACGATTTTTGGATGAAAGGATAGAATTAATTATAAAGTGAATATATATATATATATACACTCACACAAATGAAAAGTTGCTCAAAGGAAGCCCTCTATATACATATATAACGAACATTTATTTTCTCTGTTTCAGATTATTCAACATGCACACAAATTAGTGATCAAGGAATTTCAAATGAGCGAAGAGAGTGAGGAGAGGTATGTTTGTATAGAGCTAGAAAAGCGAAATAAGCGCGTTCAAGAAATATGTAAAATATTCTCCCCTTTAATAATAAGCATCTCGTGAGAAAATACAGCTTTGATGATATTTTCAACATTTTCTTTCTTTTTTTCTATTTTTTAATAATTTACAAATTTATTTTCCATTTTCAAGAGGAGTATGAGATGCACATATATATTCATTTCAATGCTTAGAATTTATTTTTAATTTCATTTAGAAATTTCAAATCTGAAATTAGAAATAAATAATTTTAAAAATTTCTATATGAAAAAAAAATTGTTAACCTAAATAATAATAATTTGAATTATTTCAAATTGAGGTTCAAATTTTCAGTAAATCAAATTTGAAGAGTATGTTTTTTATTATATTTTTACAAGGAGAATTTGAAAATTAATTTACCTTGCATTATTTTGCATTAAAAGGTAAAACGGTTATAAACTAAATTTGCTACTAGTAAATAGAGAATAATATAAAAATAATTACTATTTGAAAATTTAAAGTTTTTCTAGGGATATCAAATTGAGACAAAAAACGAATTAAAAGTGTTTTCGAATTTTTTCCAAAAATATAATTTAGAAGAAATTATACAACTAACATTATTTAATGCAAAAATGTTTAGTTTTTAGTAGTTTTAGTCAATAACAGGTCAGACAAACAGTAATTAAAAATATAATTTTATCCTTTTAAATCGAAATAATTTTTATATTTTTGAAGAAATTATTATAAATTTAAAGAAAATTAACCTAACCTATATAATTTTATTTAATGCTACAAATTTTAGTTTTCAGTAGTTTTTGTCAATATTGTGTCGGACCAAGTTAATTTTAAAATATTATTTTATTTCTAAATATTGAAATAATTTTTTCATTTATTTAATATTATAGAATTTGCAACTAATTCTATTTGATAGTAAAATATTTAGATTTCGCAGTAGTTTTGGTCAATATTTCAGTGAGACAGTTTTTAATTAAAAATATCATTTTAACTGCAAATTGTAATAACAATATATTATGTTTATATTTTATACAATTTTTTACAAAATGTAATTAATTATATTCGACATAATAAAATGTCTAATTTTCAGTAGTTTAGGTCAACAATTGATCAGACAATAAAGAATAAAAAATATAATATTTTAACTTTCAATACTGTTCTTTTACATTTTCTAAAGTTGAAAGAAGTTATAAATAATTTTCTTTTATAATAAAATGTTTCATTTTCAGTAGTTTTGGTCAATATTAGGACGGGCAAATTTAAATTAAAAATATAATTTTAATTTTAATAAGTTGCAATATATTATTTATAATTTGTTTAACTTTTTATAATTTGTAAATATTTATATTTGTTAATGAAATTGATACTTTTCAGTAGTTTTGGTCCATATTGTGTCGGACGAATGTAATTTTAAAGTATAATTTTACCCTTAAATTGCAATAATTTTTCTATTTGTTTAAAATTAAAGGAAGACGTAACTAATTCTATTTGATTGTAAAATATTTAGATTTTGCAGTAGTTTTGGTCAATATTCGGTCAGACAGTTTTTAATTGAAAATATAATTTTTAAAATAATTATATTTTACACAATTTTTTTACAAAATATAATTAATTATATTCAATATAAGAAAATGCCTAATTTTCAGTAGTTTAGATTAACAATCGATCAGACTGAATCAAATAAAAAATATAATTTTATCTTTCAATCGGTTTATTTTTTTCTACATTAGCTAGAGTTGCAAAAGGAGTTATAAATAATTTTCTTTTATAATAAAATGTTTTATTTTCAGTAGTTTTGGTTAATATTTCGTGAGACAAACATAATTTTAATGTATAATTTTATTCCTAAATCGAAATAATTTTTCTATTTGTTTAAAATTAAAGGAAGTTGTAACTAATTTTAGTTGAGTGTAAAATATTTAGATTTCGCAATAGTTTTGGTCAAATTGAGCTTCAAATTTTCAGTGAATCAGATTTGGAAAATAAGTTTTGTATTATATTTTTGCAGGAAAAATTTAAAAATTAATTTACCTTACATTTTCTTGCATTAGAAATTAAAATAGTTACAAGCAAAATTTTCTACTAAATAATGAATAATATAATAATAATAATAATTACTTTTTGAAAATTTAGAGTTTTTCTAAAGATATCAAATTGAGACAAAAAATGAATCAAAATGTTGCTTCGCAACACTTTTAATTCATTTTCTGTCTAAATTTGATATCCTTAGAAAAACTCGTTTGATTTTTCAAATTTTTTCCAAATTTTAATTTTTATTTAAAAATTTATTATTTTTTTCTTTTATAAAGAAATAAAAAAATTTATTGAACCAAATTTTTATATATTTTTAATTTTTTTAATTTTTTTAATTTTTATTTAAAAATTTATTATATTATTTTCTTTTAAATAGAAATATAAAAATTTATTGAACCAAATTTTTAAAAACTTTTATTTGAAGAAGAAAATATACTTTATTCAATCAAATATCTCTCTAGATTAAAAAATTAATTAAAAAAAATAAAATAATATTTGAAATGTCAAATATTTTTTACTAATTTAAGATTTCCGTCTGACTCATTTGTATATTATGTGAGATCCCTTTAAAATCGAAGTGTGTCACTGACATTGGAATCAAAAAAAGTAGTGATTTATTTTCCTAATGAAATACTTGATATTTTTTTTTACTATATATAGAGAGTGAAAAGCACACATATATATATATATAGTGCGAGGGTGTAAAGAAAGAAATTTCAATATTCGAGTGTGAGTTTTTCATTTTAATTGCAGCCAAGAGATGTTGAATTCAAGTGGCTAGTGGGCTGTGCAAAACCTGCAGGGAATGGCGCACCCATTAAGTTGTACACACACTTCTAAGAGTTCGAAATGGGAGAATTCAAGTAGTACGATCAAGGTTCATTTTCTCTATATATATACTCATACAAAGACTCGAACTTCTCGATTCTATACCCTTTTTTTTATACAACAACATTTGTCTTACTTGATTGCCACTCGTCGGAGAATATTTCAATATAAAGTCAAAATTTCGTGTAGACTACCCCTTTTTTTTTAAAAAAAAGGAATCCAATTAAATTCTTCTCAAAAAATATTTTTTTATTGTTATTTAATTTTTTAGTTTACTTATTTTAATTTTTGTTTTATTTTATTTTTTTACTTTTCTTTCTTATTTTCTTATTCTTATTTATTTTTGGTTGAATTAATTTTTTTGAATTTTTTAATAAATATTTTAATTTTAACTAATAGACGTATAAAAAAATTATTTATTTACTATAGTAAATAAATAATTTTTTTTAAATTAATTAATTAATTAATTAATTAATTATTTAATAATAATAATTTAATATTACTCTCATTGGTAAACTTTTATCACTATTATTCTTTAAGACAAAGAGTAATTTCACACGTGGAGGAAATTTTTTTAATTGAAGAAAAAAATTCAGTTTTTTTTATCTGCGAGTAATTTTTTTCTTCTTCTTATATTTCGAGAGGACTTTTACATCTATGCACATGGTATTTTACGTGAAATAAAAATTTTTTTTTTAACAAAACTTTATAATTAGTCATCTATTTTTTCTCCATATTTTTCTCGTCTTTCAAAAAAAAAATATTATGTACGGAAAAAATGTAGCAAGTTTTACAATTTACAAAAACTTGTCAGGAATTTCCCTGAAAAAAGTTTCTATTTTTAATGTTTTCAGTGCAAAGTTTACTATTTATTATTATTTTATTTTATATAAAAATCTTATTATTAGGTATTATTATTATTATTAATTATTCAAGTATTAAAATATATGTAAATATATCTGGAAAATAATTTAAATTGAATTTCGTCAATACTTAAGGAAATTTGAACTATTATGACGTCACAGCTTTAGAATGCTTTGCACAAACTGTGACGCCATAATAGTTAAAATGTCCTTAAAAAATAATAAATAATAATAAAAGTAATGAGAATGTAAAAACATTTAGAAAATACAAGAAATTTGAAATTATTTTAAAAAATTAATAAAAGAAATAATAATAATAATAATAATAATAATAATAATAATAATAATAATAATAATAATAAAAATAAAACTAATAAATTCCGTATAGAATAAATAGTAAACTAGTAAACAATGTCCAGGACCTTAAGAAAAGCAGATTCGCTTTTATTACTGATGATAAAATAAACTCTTAAAAAAAATTCATAAATACTTTCCCCCTTGCTCACAATTTGTATATACATCCTCCAATCGTTTAATCTAAAATCTATACATCGGTCGTAATATTTTTATCACTATTATTTTTTTTTTGTTTTATTTTTCGAAATTTATACCTTCCTCTCATCGAGAATTGGGATTTTTAAAAAACATTTTTCAAACGATTTCAACTGATTCAAATTATTCCGATTTATAAGAACACCACTTGACCTCTTTTGAAATATATATTACCAACCGCAATCTACATATTTATTTTAATATTTTATTTTCATAAAATTCGACCACTTTTTATAATTAGACTTCATGTGTGTGTCTTTATGTAAAAGTTATAAATTCATAATACCGTGAATTAAAAAAATTGATGAATTAGAAGTGACATAATATGAAAAAGTATTTATAATTAAAAAAATTTTTTTCCCAAACGAGAGAAATATTCGAGAGGAGAGAAATTTTATTCAGTATTAAAATAATTTTTTCTTTGCTAAAAACTTTTAGTATTTTTTTTTCTGTGAATTTTATTTGCAGTTTAACGATTATATAATTGTGCACGCGAAATTTTTTTAGTTATAAATAGGTAACAACTGCTACTTTTTTTTTTTTCTCGGTATTAAATATCGATGAAAGTAATCGAGATGGTTGAAGATTACTGGCTTTACGTATTATGTAAGGAATATGTATACTTATAGTCAGCGTCTCGTGAAAAATCTCGCGATAATATGGAAATTATGTTTCCCGACGTCGTAAAAAAATAATATGACCCTAAA